CAGACTCTTACCTTAACAAAGAGTTTACACTTCAAGTAATTGTACGGGATCATGAGTAAGCAGCACAAAAAGAGTTAGACTCTGTTATCTTACTTTGGTGACAAAGAAGATCAAAACATACAACCAGAAGAAGACAACAAAGTCAAAGCTCCTACATCCAAAGCCTCCAAGAAAAATATGAATCAGTCCCAGGCCTTGGAAGAGCTCAAAAGAGATTTTGAGAAGCAAGTAAGAGAAGTAGAGGAAAAACTGGAAAGAGAAATAAGAGTGATGCAAGAAAATCATGAAAAACAAGTTAACAGATTGCTAAAGGAGACCCAAAAAAATACTGAAGAAAATAACACCTTAAAAAATAGCCTAACCCAAATGGCAAAAGAGGTCCAAAAAGCCAATGAGGAGAAGAATGCTCTAAAAAGCAACATTGGCCAAACGGAAAAGGAAGTCCAAAAGCTTACTGAAGAAAATACTTCCTTAAAAATTAGAACAGAGCAATTGGAAGCTGGTGACTTTATGAGAAATCAAGACACTGTAAAACAAATCCAGAAGAATGAAAAATTAGAAAACAATGTGAAATATCTCATTGGAAAAACAACTGACCTGGAAAATGGATTCAGGAGAGAGAATTTAAAACTTATTGGACTGTCTGAAAGCCATGATCAAAAAAAGAGCCTAGACATCATCTTTCAAGAAATGATCAAGGAAAACTGCCCTGATATGTTAGAACCAGATGGCAAAATAGAAATTGAAAGAATCCACCGATCTCCTCCTAAAAGAGATCCCCAAAGGAAAACTCCTAGGAATATTGTAGCCAAATTCCAAAGTTCCCAGGTCAAGGAAAAAATATTACAAGCAGCCAGAAAGAAACAATTCAAGTATTGTGGAAACACAATACTAAATCACACAAGATTTAGCAGCTTCTACATTAAGGGGCCACAGGGCATGGAATATAATATTCCAGAGGGCAAAGGACATAGGGTTACAACCAAGAATCAACTACCCAGCAAGACTGAGTATAATCCTTCAGGGGAAAAAAATGGTCATTCAGTGACATAGACGACTTTCAAGCATTCCTGATGAAAAGACCAGAATTGAATAGAAAATTTGACTTTCCAGTACAAGACTCAAGTGGAACATGAAGAGGTAAACAGGGAAGAGAAATCATAAGAGACTTATTAAGGTTGAACTGTTTACATTCCTGCATGGAAAGATGATATTTGTAATTCATGAGACCTTTGTCAGTATTAGGGTAGTGGGAGGGAAAAAATTATGGATAGATAGAGAGCACAGGGTGAGTTGAAGATGAAGGGGTCATATCTAGAGAATAAAATTAAGGGGTGAGAGAGGATTATACTAGGAGCAGGAGAAAGGGAGAGGTAGATCAGGGCAAATTATCTCACAAAAAAAAAACAAAACAAAAGAAAGGCTCTTATAGTAGAGGGGAAACAGGGGAAGGTGAGAGGGAATGAGTGAATCTTATTCTCATAGGATTTGACTTAAAGAGGGAATAACATACACACTCAATTGGGTATGGAAATCTGTCTTACCCTACAGGAAAATAGGGGGAGAAGGGGACTAGAGAGGAGGGCAGATTGGGAAAGGGGGTAATCAGAAGCAAATACTTCTGAGGAGGGACAGGGTCAAAAGAAAGAATAAATGGGGGGGGTCAGGATAGGATTAAGGGAAATAGAGTAAGTTTTTCACAGTATGTCTACTGTGAAAAGTGTTTTGTATAATTGCACATGTATAAGCTATGTTGAGTTGCTTGCCTTTTCAAAGAGGGTGAGGAGGGAGGGAGGGAGAAAATTTTAACCCAAAGTTTTAAAAACATGCTTAAAAAAAAAGTTTTCACATGCAACTGGGAAGTAAGAATTACAGGAAATGGTGTAGAAATCTATCCTGCTCTACGGGACAATAGAAGGGGAAGGGGATAAGAGAAGGGGGGGAGAGATAGAAGGGAAGGCAGACTAGGGGAAGGGATATTCAGAATGCATGCCATCTTGGGGTGGGGGAAGGGACAAGATGGGGTGAAAATTTGGAACTCAAAATCTCGTGGAAGTAAATGTTGAAAACTAAAATAAATTTATTTAAAAAAAGGGGGAGGAGGGCTTAGAAGCAATACTTACATTAAAACAGAGAAGAAAAGATCTGGCATTCATAGCTCCCGAAAAAACTTCTTGGTGTATACTTAGAGCTGGACCATTATGTTTGTGGCACGGTGAGCTTACTTACCATTTAAACCACTTGGAACAGCTTGGTTTTCCTTTCCTCACCAACAAAGCCAGGTCAAGTTCTTTAGGAGGAGGAATGACTATTGGACAGAAATTGTTGAGAGCAGTCAGTATTTTGGGTGTAGAGGAGTGTTCTTTGTAGAAAATTGGTTATAGCCAGAGCAGTGGGTCACATTTTCCATGGGCCCTTTGAGATCACAGAGGGCCCTTTTTTGTAATTGGATTATTTGCTTGTAATTATTGTGATTTAACAGGGTGATTGAACAAAATTCCATCAGAGCAGTGATTTGGGTAGGTAGTTTCTTTGGAGAAGTGTTTTATCTGTTACTTCTCAGCTTCCAGATTAAAGTATGTCTGAGGAGAGGGATTCAGAGTGTCACTTAACTGTGTTAAATCAGATTTCATGGCTATTAGAAAATGCCCATTACCCCTTGTGCCCATTTTTCCATTTTCTGTCCCAAAGTTAGTGTTTCAGCCACAAAGTTCAGACTGATTTAAGGTCTAAAGCAGAAGAGAAAACCCAAAAATGGTGGCCAGAATAACTGTGTGTATGGGGGGGAGGTTTAATTTTAAAAAATGTCTTGGCTCTAGGGGTTTGTTGGAGAACTAATGGTTTCCTTTTGTTTCTATTTTTTCCCTTAATCAATAGAAATAATAATGTTGAATCAGTGAATTAGTTATTTATGAGGAACCTGGAAGAACCTGGAAGACACAGCAGAGTCTTGGCATTGGCCAGGAAAGAGAAGCTAAGGATACAGGCTGGTCAGGATTAGCTCATTCCCTCTTGAGCGGGATATTTCATTTTGATTTTTGCCTTTCTTTGTACCTCCGGGCTTAGCACAATGCTTGGCACATAGCGGACTCTTACTTGATCAATGCTGGATGACTTGGCTTGATTACAGAGAGCTGACCTTGGCATCTGTGGAAGACTCGGGCCCAAATCCCACCTTAGACACCGTCAGGGTGATCCAGAAGGAGTCACTTAAACTCTTTGGGTTCAGACTCCTCATTTGTAAAGGGAGGGGGTTTGATTCAGCAGACTCCAAGATAGAAACAGACCTCAGTGACTGGTTTGAATTGCTGAGATAAAATCCCTAAGCACCAAACAGCTTGTGCTCCGGGAGTCCTTTCTTCCCTGGCATCTGTGTATTTACATTGTGCTGTATTCATTGGTGGGTGGCATCTTCTCCCAAGCTGTCCTCCATGCAGCCCATGGTAGTACTCAAGGGCAGAGGCCAACCGTCTTGGGCAAAGCTGGCCCCTTGGTTCCTCAGCGGAGGTGAGCAGCCTCATGCCCTAAGCCCAGCACCCCTGGAATTCCTTTGTTTTTGTGGTCATTCCGTCCAAACTAGCCCGGTGAGCTTCCCGAACACTTGGCTAAGCAGAGAGATTTGGAATAGAGAAAGTAGCATATAGTGTTTATACGTAAAGCATTTTCCTCCCTTTTCACAATCCTGCCAAAGCTAATTCTAGGTGGCGTAATCTTTTGCAATGTTCTCTAGCTCTGTACGAGAGGATTTTATGTGTTGTCGTCACATTTCTGTTCCTTTTATTAATTGCTCATCTGTCGTGAGATCCAGTTAAGGCGGGTGAGGTGTTGTCAGGGCCCTTAGCTGGGAGAAAAAGACCTGAGCCTTTAGTAACCATTACAGCGGAGGCCGTGACTGGAAGATGAGGGAAAGGGGAGGCACGCGTGCTGGTTCCCCTGGTCCCGCTGTGTCTCTGCTAAGCCCGCTCAGCTGCTGTTGGTGAGCTTTCAGCTCCTGCCACCGGCGCTGTCCTCTGTCTCCTTCCTGTCTTTCCTGCTTTAGCTTTGCAATCCTTTCCAAGTGCTGCATTTGATTTGTTGCTTTGGTTTTCCTGTGATTAAAGTATTGTTACTAAGCAAGAGACAAATGGGTTGGTTTTTTTCTTTTCATGAGCCCCCCTCTCCCCAGTGGACTAAATGATGCCCTGCGAGTAGGATGTGCACTTTGATTAGCAATTACGAATTGTCTTCCCCCGCCACCTTCCTGTAGTCAGTATGGGAGGTTTAGCACAGTACCGTGTAGGAGTGTGTGAGTAGGATGTATACTTCGACTAGCAATTACGACTTTCCCTCCCCTGCCCTCCCACATCCATCACTGTGAGAGTTAGTACTGTAGTGTGTAGGAGTGCGATGAAGGGAGGCTGACACGGTGTAGGGACAGCACAGTCAGGGGGAGCATCCGCCCAGCTACTTGTCCATTGTGGATGGGGGGACAGCTTCTCCCAGGGAGATACAGAGGCAGCAGCTGTGCCTGCCCTCCCAGGAAATAGAGAGCCGGCCTCGAAATCAGGAGGAGCCAGCCTGAGTCAGGTCACCCCTCTGACCCTGCTGCTGGCTGTGTGCGTGGCCCTGGGCAAGTCCCTTCACCCCGCAGAGCCTGATGAACTCAGCACTGATGCAGACGCTGGTCTTATCCCCAGAGGTTCCTCTCTGAGTGTTCCTTTGGAGGCCTCCTGCCAAAAAGAAGAGTGACAGCAAATGTATTCCTTTGAGCTTACGGATGGTTTGGAAATCTACATTTTGGTCCCTTCTCTTAGTGGGGAAAAAAGGATTGTTAAATATGGTAGTTTTCTGTTACCATCATTTTATAGGCTGGATTTAGTGAAAATCAAACACTCAAATAAAAATCTCTTCCTGGTGGTGCCTGGTGGTGTCTCCAGCTGTTTAGAAGTCATACGACAAGTTTCAGACATGAACCGTTATCAAAGTATTTAGAAAATGTCTTTTCTTTTTTTGTCTTACAGATCACAGTAATGGATCCTTTAACTTCAAAGCCCTTTCTGGAGGCTCAGGATACAAATTTGGAGTTCTTGCAAAGATTGTAAATTACATGAAGGTACTAAATAATAACCGTAGGTGTGTGCCAAGGTTTCTTACTTGGTTTTTTGGAAAAACAGTTCATAATTGGTTTTGTTGGAGTTTTCTTTACTTTTAGTCTTGAGAACATTATTCCTAAGTTGATAGTAACTCATTTTAAAACTGAGAATTTCCTCTTCTAGTTAAGTTGGCTCTTTTAATCCCTCACCAAGCAGGTATTGAGCCTGCCTGGTGCCAGGCACTGGGGTGGGTGCTGGAGATGCACATGTCATTCAGATTTGCTAGAGGGATTGATTCCAGATGCCTGAGGCTAGAAGGGGTTATCTGTGAGGTGGCTAGTGCAGGGGAGAGAAGGCTGGGTCTGGATTCGAATCCCACTTCTGCCACTAGTTACCAGGCATCTCTTAAGTGGCAATCTAATGTTGCTTCTTCTCAGTGTTCTCTCTTCTCTGTTTGCTTTCCAGAAAACATTTTTAAAATTCTGAAAGTAAGCACTAGCAAAGTATTTCCATATGCAAGTATGTAATAAAATCTGCATGCCACTTTCAAAACTGTCCTGCTTGTTTGTGCTCCTTCAGTTCTCTTTGCATTTTAAAAAATGTGACAACAGTCTTATTTTTTTGGTGGCATTATCATCGCTAAAATAAAAAAAGAGAAAAAAAGGAGACAACATGCGGACAGCTATGTACAAATAAGATCTCTCTCTCTATATGTGTGTGTGTGTATGTATGTATATAAACACATAACGTGTAATAAGTTGGAGGTAACCGCAGAGGGAAGATGCTAACATCAAGGAGACCTGGGAAAGGCTTCTCGCAGAACGTGGGATTTTACCTGAGACTTGAAGGAAGCCAGGGAGTAAGGAGGTGGCCAAAGTCACCTCCCCCTCCCCTCGCTGCCCCCTGCGCTCCCAGGGATCCATCCACTCTTGCAGCCTCTGGACACGCCTTCACAGGCTACTCTTTTCTCTGGTCACGCTGACACTGCCTTTGCTTTGGGGTCCCCTTTCCTATTGTCCACGGACTTCTGGCTGACTGTGCAGTTCCGGGGTGGGAGATATTCCTGACTGTAGTTCCTGACGATGTAGATCACTGTTAGTCTGGTAAGAGTTGAGGGTTTTCTGGAGCCAGTATGAGGAGCTTCCTGGCCCACCTCCCAGGGAGGCAGCCCGCCATCTTGGTGGGAAGTGCGGTCCTCTTCCTAGTTGACCGCTCTGCAGCTTTTGACACGTTGGTCGCCCTCCGATTCCTTGTGGACACTCTCCTCTCTGGGTTTTCACGACACTCCTCTCTCGGTTCTGCGTCTGAGTCTTTGACCATCTCGTTCACTCGCTCGTCTTCCATGTCACGCTCCCTGTCTGTGAGTGTGGCCCCCCGGCTCTGTCCTGGGCCGTCCGCCCATACTGCCTCTTAGTGGCCTCAGCGGTTCGAAGGGTTCATTTATAATCTCTGTGCAGGTGTTTCAGGGAGTGGTGAGGAGGAAGGAGAGAACAGGAATCACAATCCCTTAGTGACCTCTTGATTAACTAACAGTGTAGGAATCCCCCAGTCAGCTGGTAGCCCAATACCAAAGCCCCAGTCACCGTTGGAAGAGAAAGGCAACGTAGCTGGGAGGCCGGGATTCGGTAGAGGGACGTGCACAGTGGTAGTAGTTGTTGGTTGTCCTTGGATAAGAAATACCTGCAGGTTTATCTGAGTGAGCTTCTTTAACCATCGTAAAGGGATTTGGTTGCCAGCCCTCTTGTCTCCTGTCCTTGAAAAGCGTCTTCCCATTTTGATAACAAACCCTGCCAGTGCCTGGCAGATACTCCCCCAGAAATCCCCTTTTCCTTTGGTTGAGTCTTCTTTGCTTTTCTCCACCCTCTCTGTGACATTCTTTACTTATCTCTGCTCAGTTGCTACAGAATACTGTATACCCTGGGAAGTTGAGGCTGCTATCGGCAGGCTAATGATACATTCCCTTGTTTTGGGTTTGGCCTCCTGTCTCGGACTCATAGTCCTCAGATTTCCCTCTCCCCCACATGGGTACACCTCTTCCTGGAGATCCTGGTCCTCTCAGGAGACTTGACAATTGCCAGATCTCTGCGTTACCATCTGTCTAGTGAACGTGTTGAACTGGATGTCTGTTAGGCATCTGGAACTCATGATGGTTGAATTTGATTCACTTTCTTTCCTCCCTTGCCCTCCCATATTCCAGACTTTGCTGTTACTACCCGGGGCATCACTGTCCTCCAAGTGACCCATGCATTTCGTCCCTTGGCCAGTCACTTCCCCCTTCACGGTGTCTGGTCTCCCCTTCTCTGATCAAACAGTGACCATGCTAATCCAGAGCTTCTTTGCTCAAGCCCAGACGGTCCCCCTCTCTGTTCTCCCCACCTCCAGGCTCTCCCCACACCAGCCCACTCTCACAGCTCCCAGAGTGGTTTTCCTAGAGCGTGTGTCTGCCACGTCCTCGGCCTCAGTCCTCATCCTCTCCTAGTGCAGTGAGCTCTCCTGGTTTCCTGAGACCCGTAGAATCATAGACTCTGTTTGCCGTCTGAGGCTCTTCCTAGCCTCGCCAGCCTTCTTATGCATCGTTCTCTTGCAGCCTCACTGGCCAGCTTGCTGTTCCTTGCCAGCCACACTTCATCTCCCATCTTTGGACTTTTGAACCATCAAGTCTCATGCCTTCTCACCTTCTCTTAGGATTCTGGAGCTTCCTTCGAGGCTCAGCTGAGATGGTCCCGTCAGCTGGTGGCCTTTCCTGACCACCAGCCCCCACACCGAGGTTTCCTTTCATCTCTCTCTGTGTATCGGGGCCGTGCCCATCCATGCCCATGTTTCCTCCCTGTCCTAATGGAAGCCCCTTGAGGCTCAGTGCCTGGCCCACAGTAACGTGTTTTGACTGACCAATTGTGAGCTGTGTGACCATGGGTAAATCTCAGCCTTAGTGTCCTCACCTGTACAATGAGGGCGTTAACCTCGAGGGCCTTGAGGTCCTGTCCTTCTCCGAGTTGATGATCCTGTAGTCTTGCTCCTCCTGCCTGGCATAGTCTGGCAGCCGAGAAGGCACATTGAGAGTGCTGGGCCTGACGTTGGGAAGATCAGAGTTCAGATCTGGCCCCAAACACTGACTGACTGTGCGACCCTCGACAAGGCCCTTCACCTCTGTGCCTCGGTTTAAAATGGGGAGTCCTGGGGTTGTTGCGAGGATCCGTCCCCACTCCCTGCAGGTTCCTTCAGAGACGGTTGAGTCTCCTTATATTGGTCATTCTCACACCCTCACCTCCTTCCCTGCTTTTAGTAGCAGATTAGAGTTGTCCACAGGCAAGGTGTTCCATTTCCATCCAAAAACATGTGTTGAGCACGTATGATGTGCAAGTCATTTTTCCAGGGAATACAAAAGCAGAAGCTTCCTATCCTCTGCCTTCAGGTGGTTTACATTTCACTGGAGCAGACACTGGCAGCAAGCAGGAAGCCACAGTGGAATGGCCTGACCGAGCAGAGAGAGATAGAGACGTGATAGACCAGGCCTTTTCCTTGTTTAGTGAGGTAGTCATGGTGTTTGGGGGATTTTTTCCTTATCGATATAGTCAGTTAAGCTTATAGTTTTCCCAGTGTTGAACCAACAGTGAATTTCTGGTATAAATCTAGCCTGGTCATAGTGTATAATCTTTGTGATATGTTGTGACCTCCTTACTAGTATTTTATTTAAAATTTTTACATTAATATTCATTAGGAAATTGGTGGGCACTTTTCTTTCTCTGTTTTGACTTTCCCTGGTTTAGGTATCAAGACAATATTTTTACTGTAGAAGGTATTTGGGGGTGGGGCTAGCTAGGTGACATAGTAGATAGAGCTCCACAGTAGATAGAACTCCTGCCTTGGAGTCAGGAGGACCTGGGTTCAAATTCGGCCTCAAACACTTGACATTTACTAGCTGTGTGACCCAGGGCAAGTCACTTAATCCTGATTGCCTCACCAAAAAGCCAAAAAAATAAAGAAGAAGAAGAAATTTGGGAGTTCTCCTTTACCTGTTTTTTAAAACAGTTTGTGTAGTATTGGAATTAAAGTATGCTTATTTCCTGTTCTATTAATCTGAGCAATTTATATTTTTGTAACTAGTCATCCATTTCATTTAGATTGTCAGTTTTATTGGCATATAGTTGGGTAAAATAATTCCTCATAATTGCTTTTATTTCCTCTTCCCCCTTTTCATTTTTGATACTAGTGATTTGGTTTTCTTTTTTTTTTTAATCAAATTATCACACAATTTATCTCTTTTATTGTTTTGTTTTGGTTTTGGTTTTTGTTATTCAGTTCAATTTTTTTTTGACTTTCAGTTGTTTATCTCTCCTTTGACTTTCAGGATTTCTATTTTGGTGTTTAATTGGGGGCTTTTAATTTGTTTTTCTAGTTTTTTTTTTAAGTTGCATATCCAATTCATTAGTCTGTTCTTGCTCTCTTTTATTAATATAAGCATTTAGAGATATAAATTTTCTTTTAAGTACTGTTTTGGCTGCATCCCACAGATTTTGTTATGTTTTTTCATTATTATCATGAGTGAAATTATTGTTTCTTTGATTTGTTTTTGGACTCACCTATTCTTTAGGATTAAATTATTTAGTTTCCAGTTAATTTTTAGTCTTTGCTTCAAAGTCCCTTTTTGCATATAATTTTTTATTCCATTGTGATCAGAAAAAGGTACATTTAATATTTTTGCTTTTCTGCATTTGTTTGTAAAATTTTATGTTTGTGAAATATGTGGTCAGTTTTTGTGAGGCCTTGCACATCTGAGAAATAGGTACCTTTCTTACTAAAGATTTTGGATACCGTGATATTTGGTGAATATATGTTTGATGTTGATATTAAGTCATTGTTTATAGTACCTTTTAGCAAAATGTAGTTCATTTGTTTATCTCTTTTAATTAGCTCTGTTTTTGCTTTTATCTGAGATCGTGATTGCTGCTCTTACCTGTTTTACTTCAGTTGAAGCATAACAGATTCTACCAGAGCCCCTTATTTTAACTCACTATGTAGT